AGTTGTGAGTAAATATTAAATGTGTCCTTTGTTGTGGGAAGGAAGGACTAAGGTATAGAGATAAAGGATTTATAGTTCACCATGAATTGGTGCCCAAATTTAGGATTTATTTTTTAAACTGTAAATATTGATTTGTATTATAGGTTTTATACTAAGGAAATCTTTTGAACCTAAAAAAATTGTTATATACTATCTTCTTTAAAAACAATAATTTTAAAAGGCCATAATTTTCAATTAGTGTGAGAAGCAAGTAAATGGAATATGGAAAAGTTGCAGAAATTTGAGTAATGTTTCTTTTTAAATAAATGGACATAAATTAAACATTTTTGGTAGAATCAGAAAAATTGATAAGATTATAGGCTTTGAGATCTCTGAGAAAGTTTTTAAATGTTAGTACTTAATGTCATTTGATATTTATTTTTATTTATCAAGCCAGTATAATGTTGGCTTTTATGTAAAGCTCTTCTTGAAGCTAATACTGTAAGTAGTTATTGGGATGAAAATTATTATCAATATTTAAAAATCTGTAAATTGGAGGATGTCTTGGCATTTTAATTGAATAAAATAGATGCATATTGAAGAAAATGAACTTTTCTCTTGACCATGGTTTGTGTTATCCTGTTTCACATACTTTATTGTTCACAAGTAAAATTACTCTTTTGACATATTGAATTATAACTGTTGTATGATTATTGTTTAGTAAAACCAAGATAAGAAATTGCAACTTTTAATTTAAATATGAATGAAGGTATCTTTATTTAAAGATTATGCTTTAAAAAAGTTATGTGTTGGCCATGAATATTTTATTAGTCATATTTCACGATTTTTGCTTTTTATGGTATTATTCTGGATTTGTATATTACTTGAATCAGTTGGAAACAACTCTTTTAAAATGACCCTGAGAGGACAAATAGTATGGTTTCCATTTTATAGATCAGGTCATAGAGATTAAGAAAGATTAATAACTTGTCTGTTCTTAAATTGGTTGGTAAAGTGTGACTTGGGCTGATTTCTGTTTGCTCCTAGCTCATATTTGTGGTATAGCATTAAGCTATGAATACTTGTGTTTATCCTTGAGGAAAATTTCTAAGCAACATTATTGTAGCACTTAAAAATCTTAAATACGAAGGTAAAAATACTGAAGCATCACACATTGGCCTCCTGAAAGGTTGTTCATTGACTCTCCTGATTGATGCTTTCATTTTGTTTTATTAAGGCAGCCCTGTTTAGTATTTCCTCAGTATACAGACTGCCCAACAATCCTTTGAAGGCATTATAGTAGTTTAAAATATTTTAAAAATATATTTCTGCTCACAGTTAGATATGATGGACAGTAATTATTTCTATAATGCAAGTGTTTTTTTTTTAGTTTGTGGCTATATCTGAGATAATGCAACTAATCATTTTTAGCATACCACTTTAATTCTAACTGTGTATCTTTTAAATTTTTTTAGATGAAGCAGAGTCAGATAATTTTTAATTCGTTCTTATATATTTATTTCCTTTTAATTTTTAAAAAAATTTGTCTTTTTGAGGCAGTGTCTCACTAGTTCAGGCTGGCCTTGAATTCATTTTCTAGCCCAGGCTGGTCTCAGACTCACAACCATCTTCCTACCTCAGCCTCCCTAGTGCTGGGATTACAGGCATGCACCCACCACCACACCTGGCTTATATCTCTATTTAGAAGACAACTTCTAAATAAATGTTCCTGGAACAATTGAATATTTATGTGACAAATTTAGATTTCTGCCTTTTACGCTGAGAAAACAAAAACACCAAATGCATCAATTCTAGGAGGATTCATGACAAATAAAAAGCAAACCTTTTAAAGCCTTTAAGGGTTTGGAAGATAATATATATAGAAGAATATTATCAGGGTCAAAGACTTCTTAAAGAGGATATAAAAAGCACCGTACTAGTCCTTTGATTTTGATAAAATTTGCTAAGGCAATTCTAAGATTCAAAAAAGGACAGTGTCTAAGAATATGCTAAGACAGAAGTAAAGATGTGCTCTGGAAACAGTGATATGAATTCAGTGTTGATGTCAGCTATGCATGTGTGAATTTGGGATACAGTTTTTTTTTTTTAATTTAAAGTGATTAAAAGCAGTTTCTCCTGTCATACCAAATAAACCTGGCGAGTGGCCAGCATTAGATGGAATTTGGGTAGTGGCAATAACTCATATGTAAGTACCTGTGATTGAACCTTTTGGTCCCTGCATTCTTTTACTTTCTGGATCATTTTCTGTATTAGTGCATAAATAATAGTACATAATGTTTACATTCCTTGTGGGGATTGGTTCATATGCATAATACGTCTTTATTCCTTTTTTCATCCCTTTTCCCTTTTCTCCCTTTTAAACTCCATCTATCTCTTAATTGTCTTCCTTTGTTGTTGTACATATTTTACAGTACATAATGCTTACATTCTTGGCATGGAACTGGTACATGTACGTAACACATTTTAATTTTTCCTCGTCTTCTTTTTCTCCTTCCCTTCCGCCCGTAATTAGTTCTTTCAAAGTCATCACTATTGCTGACTATAAATTGTATTTGGTCAAAAATTTTTTTTAAAAAATTGCACTGGGAGAAAAGAGGATGGATTTTATTTGGTGAAGTAATAATTTTAGGATAATGAGCTGTGCTATATGGTAGTGCCTTGCAGTTCTGAAGTCATTTTACTGTATAAATCCATGTACTAAAAGCACAAATCTTATGGAAAAATGGAGCCACAACACTCAAAAACTTTGTCAATAATACTTAAAAGGGTAATAACCTAATAAAGTGGCAGCACAGTTATATATATATATTACATGGTTAAGAAATACAGACATGATAAATGTTGCACTTTACCTTGAGAGGAGCCTCTTGTGAAAGTGTCTATTAGGTTTACACATTGTGAGTTACCATAAAGTGAGGCAAAGACAGTCTGTAAAATTGGAGGGAAATTATAACAACATGTGGATTGGCCTGGTTGATCAACATGATAGACCTAGGGAGCTAGGAGATTTTGAGGAGTGTGTGTGGTGTATATATTCCTACATGCCTTGGTTCATCAGGGTACAGTTTTCTTTGTTCCTTTAGGGGTTCTTGCAGATAAAACCATGCATAAGAAACACAAAATGGGGCTGGAGATTTAGCTCAGTGGTATAAGCCCATACCTGGCAAGGTCGTGAGTTTGTTCCCCAGTACCCTCCCCCATGCTTCTGGTTACTTAATGTATTATTTTGAAACAAATTTTTGTTTTTAAATTGCATTAGAGCAGAACTTATTGTGTTTCATGTTATGCCCAGTCCCATCATATCATTTGTGTGTTTGTGAAGATTATGAGTTAGGGTCTTTTTACTGATGTTCTGAAATAATTTCCTAGTATTTGACTGCTACACAACACTTTGTCATAGTGAATTTTAAAATTTTTTTTTCCAAGCTAAAAAATTAGTGATTTAGGTATAGAATCAGATTTTTGCTTCAGACTAGCAGTAATCAATGTGATACACAGAAAGTATCCGTTCTTTCGTTTCAAGGCAGCATATTACCTTCAGTGACCTCTACTTTTGATATGGCTGCCAGGATACCTTTAATCCATTTGAAAGAAAGCATGTGGTTGGTTACGTTTTGGGGGTTCTGCTAACACATTTGTTGCTTTTGTAAACTGTGGCTCTTTTACTCCAAAACTTAGCAGTAACATGTTTCCTGAGAAATCTTAATTCCTTGACTCTCTTCCTCCTCTGGTTTGGTTGATAGCAGGGATGGTGAATGAGGTGCTTGTTTTCCTGTCCTATAGTACGTGTTTGTTTTCAGGACTCATTTTCATGCCCTGAATCATAAAGTCAGTTTTTCTGCATAGCATTTCTATTTCTTCTCCTTAAAACCACATTTTTATTTCTACAGTGCTCTGGGTACTCATTCCCACTGCACCAAATATCATGCTTTGGAACTTTGCAAAGCTGGGTTTTCTCTTTGATAAGCTGTGTACTTTTTGATGGCTTAGATCATATCTTTATGTCTACATGTCATAGCCCTCAACAGTGCTGGTTGAGTGATTGCATGGAAAAAATATAAGGTTAGATGTTTAGGTATTTTGGTCACTTGACCAAAATATAAGGTTAGATAATGTTTAGGTATTTTGTTCAAAATACCTAAAGTGATCTTAGTACTTTTTTCAAATCCATTTTATTCAAAGATAAAAAGAAAGAAAAAAAAAAAGAGGAAGAATAACAAAAACTACAACAGAATTTCAGAGCACATCAATCAAGGGGCAACAATGGTACATACATTATGCATTGTCATCCCCAAATCATTTACCCAGAGCACAAGACATCTGCATTCAATTGTCCCGACAGTACCAGCACAAATCTTTCTCTTCAGCGAACTCAGAGCAATCAGTAGTATAACTGTCTTACTTTTTATATATATATATATACACATATCCATGTTTTTTTCTTTCAGCCTGAGTGACTTTAGTATTGTTCTTTTAGTAAAATGACTCATGCTTGTGCATTCAAAATTTTTAATAGTATAATATTTTCTTTGTAGACCAAATACTGTATAAATCTTTGATTTGGCACATATGGGTTCAAAAACAAATAAGGGCAACTTGGAACCTTGAAATTGAGGGGGTTTTGACACAGTTAAAAAAAATGCTATTTTTTTTTTTTTTGTCTCACTATGCAGTTTAGACTAGCCTGGAATTCATTATGTATCCTAGGCTTGCTTTGAACTGATGGTGATCCTCCTTCCTTGGCCTCCCAAGTGGCGAGATCATAGCCATGTCTGGTGAAACACCCTGTACTTTTCAACTTTCTATTGTAATATATGTAAAATTTAGTTTTCCAGATTTCAGGTATCTACACGTTAATGGGACACCCTCAAAAGAGAGGGAGGGTGTTAGTTCCTTTAAGGTAATAAAGGGCATGTGTGATAGTCAAAATCTGATGATTATGGAAACACTAAGCAACTCTTTGGATTGTTTTTAAGGTTTCTTTTCCTTTTTCCTTATAGGATCTCTTTGTTTTTCGACATGAATTGGCCATCATGAGGCTTGCTGCCTTTATGGGTATCACCATGTTAGTTGGAATAACTGGACTCTTTTATACACAACTAATTGGCATCATCACTGTGAGTATATTTTTAGTATAAAATGGCATTGTATGAACATAATACATAATCAGGAACTTAATGCTGAAAGTTACAGGAGATTTAGAAGTGCAAGGAGAAAATTACTCATTTTCTTGTATAGGTATGTCAAAGTTGGTATGCCTATACTTTTAAAGTTGTTATAATCAGATATAGAGCATACATACATTTTTTTTTTTGACGATACCCAAGGCTTTCACATTGAGCCTGTTTTTGGTTACTTTTGAGACCTTGTCTCACTCAGTTGAGCGCAAACTTGCTGTCCTGCCTTAGCCTTTCAGAATACTGGGATTATAAGCATGTACTACCATACCTGACAGTTTTTTTGTTTTGTTTTCTTGGTGATTTTTTGTATATTTACTGATTTATTAAGGTGCTAACTAAAAAGTGTTTACAGTTATTATCTGGGATGTCAGAAGGGCTTACTGCTCCCATTTTATGTTCGATATTGAAAAATCCTGAAATACTGTCATTTTTTTTTACATTTTTACATGAAAAATACACTTGTAAATATATTTAGTTATTTCCCCTTTTTATTATTACTTATGTTGGACTTGTTATTTATTTTTTTTTAATAATCTTTTTTTTGTCTTTTTCATTTTTATCGGTACCAGGGATCGAACTCATGGCTGCCTGCTTGCAAGACAGGCGCTTATGCCACTGAGCTAAATCCCCAGCCCCTGGACTTGTTATTTTTTTTAACACTGCTGAACTGGACCAGTTACATCAAACACATTATCGTAATAGTCACTAGTCCGCTCAGAGGTGCATTTACTTCACGAATTTTATCGGTCGGTTTGAGGCTAAATAATGACAGCTATGATTGAGATACAGTCTTTCTTCATAATTAGTATAGTCATGTCCCTTTATCACAAAAGACTTTAAAAATCATATTAAGAATTAAAAACATGATATACTGTATTATAGAAAATGTAGGGCAAGTATGCTTTCCTGTACATTTATGGTGTGAGTATAAATGAATATAACCTTGCTGGAGGCAAATTGTCCACATCTGTCTGAGGGATTGGTTCCAGTATGCCATGTAGATATCAAAGTCTTCATTGGCTGTTAAGCTCCTTAGGTAGAAATGGCATAGTATTTTCATGGTATCCCCTCTACACTTTAAATGATTTCGACATTACTTATAATTCCTAATATAATATAAATGCCATGTAAGTAGTTGCTAAACTGTATTGTGTAGGAAATGGTGACAGAAAACACTCTGTAGATATATGTTATTTTTGAAATGGTTTTGATCCATGTTTAGATAAATCCATGAATGTGGGATCTACAGATATGTAGGGCCAGCTATACACAGATCATATATATATTCATATAGTCATTTGATTTTTAGTAGGACTATCCATCAGTGAAAAACAGTCTTTCAACAAATTGTGCTGGGGCAACTAGATGTCCACATGCAAGAGAACTGAAGTTGAATCTTGACAAACATAGGAGTATGTACAATCAGGAATAATCTTTAGTGACCTTGGGTTTGGAAATATTATCTTAGATATGACACCTAAAGCATAAAGTCCCATAGAAAAAATGGATAAATTGGATTTAGTCAAAACTGTAAACATTTGTGCTTTGATGGACACAAGAAAGTAGAAACCAACCTTAGAGAATGAGAGAAAATAAATTGATCTGACCAGGAACTTTTATAACTCAATAATAAAGAGACAACCTAATTCAAATATAGTTGAATGATTTATCTAAAGAAAACATGAATAGAAAGTACACAAAAATATGCTGAAGCTCATTAATCATCATAGAAATTCAAATCAAAACCATACATACTGCTTTAAAACCACATGAATGGCTGTAATAATAAAAAGACAGTTGATAACCAATCACTGGTGAGGATGTAAAAAAATCAGAACCATTATTCATTGTTAGTGGGAAGGTAAATTTTGCAGCCACTTCAGAAAACTCTGGCAGTTCTTTAAAAAGTTAAACAGAATTAGTATTAGACTTAGCAATTCCACTAGGTACACACAGAAACTATACATGACTCTGGCAGCATTATTCATAATAGCCTAAACTCAATGCATAGTAAACTAAAACTGAATGAATACACAAAATAATGGTGTAGCCATACAATAGAATATTATGTGTTTATGAAAATACAAGAAGAAATGAAGTACTCATGCTTGCTACAACATGAATGAATCTTGAAGGCATGAAACATACTGAGAAAGACCACTTACATGGTTACATTAAATGAAATGTGCAAAATAGGCAGATCTATAGAGACAGAAAACAAAGATTTGTGATTGTCTAGTGCTGGGAGACTATAGATAATAGCTAAAGGATACAGGATTGGTTGGTTGGTTGGTTTGTTTTAGTGGATGATGAACATATTGTAGAAGTGAAATTACTGTGTTATGTAAGATTGGTTCATCTGTTTTATGAAAACTGCTGGGCCTTTTACTCAAATGATTATACCATTTTACATTCCTATCAATACATGAGGATTATGGTTGTTTCATAGCTTCATTATCTTTTTTTGTATTTAATCTTTTTAATTGTAGCTGTTTTGTTTTTAATAGATTCTTATTTTAACTGGAATTTCCCTGATGAATAATAATTTTAAACCCTTTTTCATGTGCTTAATGGCTGTTTATGGATATATGAAATAATGTTTGAATACATATTTATTAATTCAATTTGAAATACTTTCTAATATCCTCATGATTTCTCTAATAATGATGAGGATAAACAGCTTGGTATTGGTAACAATGCTAAGATCAAGAGTTTTCTCTTAAAATTTTTTTTCTATTTTTATGCTCACTCATAATTATCATTTATGATAATGAATTTAATTTAGTTCATAAGTCATGTCAAAATTGCCAGCTTATGCTTGTATGTTTTGAATTTATCAAAAATCATTGATATGAATTTATATGCTATAGTATGATAAGATTTTTCAAATTTCCCCAAAGTTTTACTCTTAATGGAAGTGAACATTTCAGAACATCATAACTAAGAGTACATGTTACCTAATGAGGGCTGTCAGGGATTTATAGCTGAACCAAACAGCTAGCTCCCCCATTATCCTCAGAGAGTTAAAGTTTTAAGATCTTCTAAGTATCCTTAATCTAAAATTGTAATATTCTCCTCTGACTTAGACATAATAATTAAATAATTATTTTTTGTTGATTTTAAATGTACAGAATATTGGGTTCCATTCTGACTCTGTTTTACTCAACCAGCATGTTAATATTTTCAAATTGTAGTTTTCCTTTTTGTTGTAATATGGACCAACATTTCAGTGTATAAATAGGGAGATCTAGTTCTGATGTGATGTTTCTAAAACTGAGTACAAGCCACATTTGTTAAATGATGTTCTCCAAACGTTTCACTTCTTTTCACATACATAAAGTACCCTTTTGGAAAGCTGTGTTCTAGACAGGATTATATCTGTTGAAACTGGACACATGTGAAACATTGAGAGGAAAATCCAAGTATTGAGAAAGAACATGAATATCTGTTAGTCTGGTCTTTAGTCACTGTACTTTCTCTTGAAAATAAATCACTATCAGTTTTAATTGCAGTTGCCTAGACTGTCATCATGAACCTCAAGTACTGTTTTTGAATTAAATAATAATGATAATAAGTTTCCAGAATATACTCCTCTCTGCATTGATTCTAAAAATTTTAAGGCTTGATTGTTTAACATGTTTTAATTTTTAAATCTAACAAATTAGCATTTAAATAAAATAGTATTTAATATTCTGATTAATGATACAGATTGTTTGCTTTCTTTACAAAATACATTTTTGTTTCACTTTTATGGTAAAACTAAGATTACCTACCTAAAATTTCACACCTGGACATGTTTTTGCTATAATCTGAATTCAAACAACTCCACAGTGTCAGGGAAGTGATAGATTTGTCAGGTAGTACTGTATAAGAAAAAAATAGAAGGTATCAGTAAATTTAATTAGTCTTTCTCTTTCCCTAACCAATGTACCCCAAACATCCAAGAGGTATTTGGGAAAACACTAGTGAGGATGTCATTTCATTATCTCTACTGTCAACTACTATACATTTTTTAATGGCATAGCTTAAATGTAAGCCTGTGAGAGAACAAATAGGACAAATGGTCTCTCTAAAAACATGAGGTTTCTGAGAGGCGGTACACCAAACTGATAGTAGAAGATAACAGGATAATCATAGTAGTGATAATCAGATGTCATTTTAGACCTATCAAGAGTAGATTACCTGTGACCCAGATAAAATAATTAGAAATTACTTATAATAGTGTATTTCTAATCTCATTTCCAGGGTTAAAAGATCTCAACATAACCAAATGTTTCTGTTAAACAGATTAATATAAAGTCTGTTTCTAACGGATTACTTTATTTTTATATTTAATTTTGAATAGCATTTAAATATACATATTTGTGCACTTTTACTGTAATTAATATTGGTGTTAAATTGTTTACAAAAACAAATCTGCTTTGTGGCATTCTTATTTAGAGAACCAGGTTATTGTAACTATTCCTTACTTAGACTATTTCTAAGTGAAGTGGTGATATTGTTACTTATGTAATGTAATAGCTGTTGTCATAATTATTGAGCAGTAGTTCCCACAGCCAAGAGGAATATTTATTCTGATGAGCACTAGTACTAACAGTGCTGGGTGATTGTGTCAGTCGTATTTTCAGTGACTGGGCTTGGAGGGAGTTAACCAAGAAGTGCTGTAACAGCTGGTCCAGCACATTCTGTGAGGGTCTGACAGTGAGCTATTGTTGGCCATGACACTCCTGACAGTTTATCTAAATTTTGTATACAAGCATTTTTGTTTCCTGGGCACTGTGGAGTTTATGTATAATCTTTTGATGCTGTCTCTGGAGCTTAGTGCTTTTTCAGTTGTGTTGAGTTTGTTAGTATGGTGAGGAAGATTATTTAGTTGCATTTTGGAAAAGGGTTTAATTTTACAAAGAAAAAATTAGCAAGGTTTTTCATTAGGTTTCACAGGTACAATGTTGGATTCTATTTGAATTACTAAAGATAGCTTAAAACAAACCCTTTCAAATTAAGAAAGAAAATCCCCTCCCCAAAGTACACTGGCTCATGTTTAACTCCAAAGTTAATGCTTGCTAAATAAATGCTGTATAGAAAGAATCACAAATGCAAGGGTGATTTAATTTCAACTTGATTATCTTAGGCAATGACAATTATCTTTAACATTCAAAATGTTAAATCAGTTTAAAGGAGATTATTAAATAGTACTTCATTAATCAATTAGTGGATTTACTTGCCTTTTAATATGTACTCAGTAGTGTAGTCTTGAGATTATTAATCCTTATAATTAAATTTTGCCAAGTATCAAAGCTGTGAATTAGCAGCATTTAGTAGTCTTCAAATTATGTTTGGTCTACTCCAAGTCAGCTTTGCAGATATGCAAATCATTACTAATTATACTGAACCCAGCTCTCTTAACATTTTTATAAAGGGAGCTCTGTATAGCATTTTTGCTTTTTTTTTGTAAATTATATTTTTGTTTAAAAAGTGCTCCACTTTTGTAACCTCTGGCAATAAATGTTCTTCCCTTTTTCAGCTAGGAACCCCTGCATGCCGCCCCCTCCATATCTTACTAGTTGGGATACATTTTCTTTTAGAGTCAAATTTAATTTTAGATTGAACTCAAAAGATAATTTCTTAGGCAAATATCAATTACCAAGAGAAGATGAATTCTTTACGGTAGGTACGATCTTTATTTTGTTCATTTTTAAGTCTATAAAAAAAGCCATAGTTTTTAAAAGAGGGAAACATTCTCCTGTATCTCTTAGTTAATGCAGACTAATGGAGGTTTTCAGGTATTTTGATCATTAGATCATACCTAACGTAAGTATTTCTCAGGAAATAAAGATAACCTAATGGTAGCAACACATAGAAAATACTTGTTTCTCATCATTCCTGGAAGAATGAGTCTTTTTTCCTGGATAGCTGGGTTTATAAATTTTATTTATATCCCCTTGAAAATGGAAGTTGTCTTGTTGATCCTGTCCTGGTGGGCACTGAACTTGTTGTCTCTTGTGTGAGGTGAAATTACCTGCAACAAAATATTTTCATTATTTTTTAAGTCTGAGAATGCTTCTGGTCAGAGCACAGAAGACCAGCACGCAGGTAGCTTTCATTTGTGAACAAAGACTCCATTGGCAGTAGAACCAGAGCATATGTATTACAGTGTGCCAGAAAATCTATTTATATTTTGCCCATGTTCTGAAACTTTGTGGAAGACAGACTAAGAGAACTGAATTAATTGATCTGGTGGATGAAATTTCAAAGCAGCTCAGCATTCAGGCTGTGGTATGGGGACTTTTTTCCTAGATTTATAGTGAGAGTTGGAGGTGAAAGGCAGAGTGGAAAAACGTGCAAAATTTAAATTTTGGTCCAGAAGGATCCATAAGTAAAGATTGGGCCAAAGGAAGTGTGGCTGTTAAAGAGATTTGCACTATTAAAAAGAAACCAAGTACTTTTTACAGGGACAAGACAGATGCTTTACAGCATTGGAGAAACAGCAAGATGCCACCTATTGCAACCTCAAAGGTGCAAAAGTGTAAACATTTCATGTGAGAACAGAGTCCCTATGACCCCGGCTTGAGAATGCCTCCTAGAGAACTGTTTCCCCCAGGATTTATTTCACTATATTTAGCCATCCAACTCTTCAAAGGCCACTAAAGCTATGGTTTAAGGGGCTTGGCTTTGGCATTGCCCACATGATGCTGTTTTTACAGGCATGTAGAATACCAAGAGTTGTGGTGTCAAGGTTTCCACCAAGATTTCAGAGCAAGGCCTGGAAGACCACGCAGTGTACCCCTGAGAGAGCAGTGCATAAAGCTGTGGAAATGGAATTATAGGTTCAGTGGAGTCCGCCAAGAACTTGGAGATGCCATGAAAATGGAATATTATCTGAGGAAAGCCACAGGCCATGCATGTGTGGGGCTAGCCTAAGAGAGAAGCCCTGTGGGCTGCAACAGCCAATCAGGGTGTGATCACCCAAGCCCACTGGAATTCACATTTGCCACCATGTGCCCCTAATGCCAGATACAGAGCTATAGGATTTACTGTTTGTCCTCCTGGGTTTCAGTCTGATTTCTTTTCCGTCCTTCTGTTGCTTCCTTTTAGAATTGGAATGTTTTACTCAATACCATTTACCTTGAGATTGTATAACTTGTTTTTGATTTTTACTAAGACTTTAGATTTTTAACCATAAGTTTGCCGTGAGTCTCAGAAGAGACTTCTACTTCGAGATGTTTTTGGGTGTGAAGTTGACAAGGTATGGACTGTGACCGTTATTCTTGATTTGTCAACTTCATTGGGTTAAAAATGCCTGGTAGATTAGCATGTTCCTTGATATGGATGTGTAGTGTGTGGAGGCATGACCTTGGATACTATAAGTGATCCCTAGCCCATTCTTCTAGCTCTGTTACTCTGACTTGTTTCCTGACCCCCATGAACTAAGCAATTTTGCTTCCTCATAGATTTTTCTTTTCTTTTGTTTTCTTTTTGGTACTGGGGAACAAACTCATGATCTTGTGCTTGCCAGGCAGGAGCTTGTGCCACTGAGCTAAATCCCCAGCCCCTTTCACATAGATTTTTGACATGATATTTCTCCTTGGAACCAGCCAACCATAGATTGTATCCTCTGAATCACTGTTCAAATTAAAACTCTTCTCCTTTAAGTATAGTCTCCCAATAACTGGAAAGCTTAATACAGTACTTGATGTTTTTATATACTGAAAAAAAACTGTTATTAGTTTGTGATGCTTTAAAGTATGTTCAGCATATAGATTTTTATTTAAAATATGATGGTGATTTTCCATTTATTTGGATATTACCTATAACAGTTTGTCAGTCTAATAGTAGGTCTTTGTTAATACAGCTTAAATTAACATTTTCTATAAGTTATCTTGTTTGCTGAGTTGTGTGTATATATATATATATGTGTGTGTGTGTGTATATATATATATATATATATATATATATATATATATAAATAGTTTTTTTTGTAGTGTCACGAATAGAACTCAGGACCTTGTGGTTGCCAGGCAGATGCTTGTGCCACTAACCTATATCCCTGGCCCTGTTTATATATATTTGTATTAGAGCCTTAGCAAAAGGGCAGTAAGATACTGTAGTACTATAGAGAGTGACTTTTCTATTAAAAAAGAAATTTTTTTACTAAAGAATACTAATGAGCTAACTTTAGTTTTCAGAGCAAAAGTTGTTGTGATATGGCAAATTCATTGACTGCCTTGTTGAATTTTATTGTTTATAGAAATTCAGAATCAGCAACAGTCTTTTGACTTTTAGTAATAATTGTTCATTAATGTCTTTATTGTGTCCTTTTGGGATTTTAGCTTATGGTCACTGACAGTTGACCTGAAAATAAATAGTAGATTTTTAAAAGAATTATCAAAAAGTAAGTATAATAAAAGATTTTATTTTATTTTATTTTTGTGAGGTTTTGTATTGAAATTTCTTTTTTGTGGAATAGTGTAATGTTGATTTTGTTTTTCCAGCGGGATTCCAGTGATGTATGTGAAGAATTTAAAACCATACCATATATAATCTTTTTAAATCTTTATAACAGTCTCTCAGGGAGATTAAAAACATTTTAAAATTACGAAGATTTAGTGAATTTGTTACATATGAGTATTTTTTATTTTTAATAGGATACAACATCTATTGAAAAGATGTCAAATTGTTGTGAAGAAATGTAAGTATAAAAGTAAAGTTCTAATGTTATTTACTTGAAACAATCAGCTACATTTGAAAACTGTGTATATATAGTAGAAAGATATTATGATGGCTTTTCTTGGTGCCTTTTCTGAAGCCCTAGATAGACAAGAATACCTCTGTCTTATATTTGGAGTTCCTCTACCCATGATAGCTTTTAAACAAAATATGTACTGATCATTTTTTGTTCCTTGTCTGACTAAAGTAAGTTAGATTATTTGTTCCAAAAGTACATCAAAAGAGATTTGCTTCTGTGTTGTTGACACACATTCTGTTAATCCTGAGATTCTCCTCTGCTTCAAAAGTTGCCCTAGGTTGATTGACGATGCAGATACAATATCTGTATCCAGAGTTAAAACTCAGCTGCATGCCACAATGAAAGCAAAGCTGTATTTGTGATGCTGGGACACAATTCATCAGAGTCCAGTAATGGATCCCCAGCCAACCTGTATTGTTTTAGCTGACTGAAGTGCACCATGGGAGTGCTGTCTTTCACTAATAATGCTGTCTTCTGTAGATCGAGGCCCCGAAAGCCATGGCAGCAGACCTTCTCAGAAGTTTTTGGCACTCGTTGGAAGATCCTGTGGTTCATTCCTTTCAGGCAGAGGCAACCACTGCGAGTTCCCTACCACTTTGCCAATCATGTCTAAACAGATGGATGGTGGGCACAGATGGGTCCTCCATGCTGGAAATGCGTTACAGGTTTTATGATAATAGAACTATGACAGTCTTCAAGTCAATTAAAATCCACCCACCAATCTTAGGCATCATAATGTGCCCCAGGCTTTATTTTAATAGTGATCTTGATCCTGTTGTGGGACTAATCCAAGATCTATATTTAAGTTTTAAAGCATGTTTACTTTCAAATTAGCTTTCCACAGGGATTTCTTTAAATGCTTTTGTTATTGAACTCAAAGGCAGTGATTGGAGAAATAATTGTACATAAATTTCTTTTAGTACTGACAGTGTTACAGATTTTAATTTGTGGGAAATTTCAGATTATTTAAACTTTCACTTTTAAGCAGTGCTAACCAAATCTGAATTTAATTCTTCAGGTTTTACAAAACTTGTTATACCTTCTTATATGTAAATTTTTTTCAAATATAGATTAAAATGCTTACTACTTTTTTATATGTGCTGCAAGATTTTTTAAATGCAGTTTAAGAATGAACAGTAACAAAGGGCAGTGTTTTCTTAGCAGCGGCTTTCTAATGTTTCCTCCTCTCTTCACCAAACCAAAATAGAAATACCACTGAAGGAAAATACCAACTACCTATCTTACTATAAAGAAAAGATTAATTTTTTTCCACATCAGTTTTTCCCTTAACTGTTGAAATAGTGATTGCTATTAGAATATTTTCTCCCAGGAGAAACTTGTGACCAGTCATTGTATATTCTTGTTTTACCCCAAGAATTTAATGAACAAATATGGTAGAAAATCTGCAATAATTTCAGTTATTTTTTCTAGTGTGGTATGTTAGAATGCATACATTTTAAAAATGCTATATAACTAGATAATATATAATGTACAGTATAAAAAGGAATATTGTGCTTTTAAATAAATATATACTTTTTACTTGTATTTATCTACTAGTAGATGTAAAATTACACATTGAAGGTTTAGGTAGATAGATATTGGGCAACTCGTATTGAAATTTTATTTACTAATAACTAGTCAGTATCTCATTATTAGCAGGTTACTAGTAAAGGTGACTAACTTTTATGTATCAGTAGTCACCTAAATTGAAGTTAAATTTCTGCTGGCTGAATATAAGTTGTGTTGCTCTAGAGATCTTTTTTTAGCTAATGTTAAAAATGTTTGTAGCTAATGTTAGGAAATGATTGTACAATAATGAAGTAATAGTAATGATCTATATTTATCATTAGTCTTATACAAATTTAAATTGCTAGTCGTAATCATCTCTTGGAAAGCAGAGAACATTGGTGTGAGGAAATATTTAGAATGCTTTCAAAAATTCAGCTTTTAGTTTTTTCATTAGAATACTGCAAAATCCATACATTTAAAAACATTATGTACTTACAGTTTTTCCTTAAGAGAAGATTAGAAGAGTCTGCTATTCTTGGACTATATTAATAATTTTCTTCTAATTTTGAAAGTAAGGTATCATACTGGGAAAAAATGAAGCAGAATGTTACCGGTGTTAGCCAATGGGCTATGGCTGATTATCCAAAAATTGTAAATACCTTCTAAAATATTCTGAAATAGTAGAATAAGCTCTTTTAGAGATATAATATTGTGTTTTTCATGTTTTAATTGTTTTGTTACTTAAAAAGTTAGAAATGGCAGATGAAAGTATTGGTGCTGATGAAATGTATATAGTAAATTTAATGTAAAAATATAAAGATTAATGAAACAAAATTAATATTAGACACTTTGGTTGGATCTTGTAAAAGCTAATTAGCCAAATTTGGAGGCAACACAACTAGTACAAAGAAGTAAATTGTAGGGCCGGAGATTTAGCTCAGTGACATAAGCGCCTGCCTGGCAAGTGCAAGGTTGTAAGATTGATCCCTGGCACCAAAAACAAAAAACAAAACAAGAAGTAAATTGTACATAATACAGGTAGATGTCAGTTGAATGCCTTATGTTGCATACATTCTCTTCACATGAGGACCTTGGGTAAACAGCTGAGCCAAGCAAAGGCCTTAAAGAACCTGTTCTCGTGGTGGCAGCAGCTAGGGTGAAGTGATGGAGGAAGTCTTTCCTGTTCTAAGGGTATGTGCTTTTGGTGTTGTTGGACTTACCACTTCTGAGGCATATTCTTTTCCCATCTTCCTCTTTACATTCCCTGGTCCTGTTCTGTCTGCATCCAGTTCTTCTAAGCTATGGAACTAAAAACTAAGGCACTAGATAAGCATAAGCTAATTTCCTTTGAATGGCAGAAATGCTGCTTATCACTATATTTACATAAAAATTTGTATTAATGTACATCTACGTAGACTTACGCTATAACTTCCCTTGTTCTCAGGTTAGCACCCCTAACCCTACTGTGGGATTTATATTTCTAATTCTTATTAGACTACTAGAGAGAAGCCAATTGGCAGTTTCCTGAGGATTACATAAACTCTAGTGTTCTTTCTGCGCCCTCTTTTGGCTAATTGATGTAATTGTGTTGACTCTAGAGATTTCCAGTCCCAAAAGTAAATTTTACACACAAATTTCGAACATGTCAGAGGTATATACTTGGAAAAGTATATGTATACACAGTAAAATTTTATGAAAATGAGTGTTACTATTTATGATGTTATTTTTAATCTATAAGAATGTGTTGGCTGCTTCATTTATGTACATTTTTTACTATCAGTACAATTTTGTATCTCATCAGAATAAACAAGGCATCTTGTATTTTATGTTAAACCTTATTTTGGCAAATTAACTCCTTAGAATTAGAAATGCTCTTTAAAATTTGTAGTTTATTACAAAACACAGAAATTTATTACAGTTATATGGCAACCATATAAGTAGTGTGTTTAACTGAGTATATAAAAATATATTTAAGTTTTTTCTGTCTTAATTTTGGAATGAATTTTTTCACTGGCTCTACTATCTTATATCTATAATAAGAGATTAGTACTCTTTCTGTGCTTTTTTTTTAACTTTCCCAGCATTGTCTGTATACCTTCAGTAGCCAGTTTAATATGTACCCTGCATATTCATGAAAATAACCAAAATAATGTTCAGCATTAGAAAATAAATATGAGCAGTGACATCACTGATATAGTCTCATGTTGACTAAAGTGTATCTTTATAAATTTTCCATTTAATTTTTGCAAAGATGCTTTTACATTAGCAAAGTGCTTTATTGACTTTTGGAGATGAAAGATTTTTACAAGGATACAGTTGCACCTCTTGAACAATCATATTTGTTGCTTTCTATAAACAGAGATGTTTTAAGGCTCACTGTAGATTGAAGATCATTGTCAAAAGTAGTCTGACTTCAGAATCCCCAAGCAGTGAAAATTCAGTTAAAGAATTTTTGGTATGTGGTAACCGAGACTTAAAAGTTTAAAAATATTAACCTGATGTTTCACTATAATAAAAATATCATACTATTCTGCTTAAGAGTTGTAATAAAAATATTTGTGGTTAATATAAAGATAGTTATTTAAAATTGCAACTAACTTATTAATCTCTTTTTCAGAAGAAAACATAATTTTTTTTTTGTCTTTTTCATTTTTATCAGTACCAGGGATCGAACTCACGACTGCCTGCTCGCAAGGCAGACGCTTATGCCGCTGAGCTAAATCCCCAGCCCCTAAGAAAACATAATTTTAATGACTTTGGGTATAGTTCAGTGCAAGAGCATAGACAAGGCCCTAGGCTCAATCCTTAGCAACCCCCCCCCCAAAAAAAAACCAACACACCAAATAGAGGGCATAAGGCTACATGAGCTAAACCTGTCAGAATTAGTCAGTGTATTTTTACTAATGCATAGAAGTCTCCTTTTGCCTAAGGATGGTGGCTAATTCTACCTATTGTTTTTTTTAACTTCCAAGTCACCTCCACACAAGTAATTAGAGATATGTTTTGTTCAAAAGTTATATTAATTCTGAATAAGAATCACAAAGACTTAGGACACACTCTGAAGCTGGAAGTGTGTACTAATTTAGATTATGGTCGCACAATTTTCTGTGTGTTCTATTATGAGACATTTCCAGTTATTCTCATGCACATTGCTGTAAAATCACAGTGTGTCTAGTTGTGGCTTAATGTGATACTAATATTCATTAATAGAGATGCAAGTTTTTCTCTGGACTTTTGCTAGTCTCCTACTACTTATGCTTCATGCATCACTAGATTACATAGTAGCTCAGGTTTACTATAGTTACTGAATAACGTTTTTTACATGACCTCTAATAATATACATAAATATGTCTGGGATTTATTTGGTCAAGTTAACACAAACATAAAGTAGTTTACTGACAGATGTAAGTATTAGACTTTCAGCAGTCCTACTATTGTTGCTTTAAAAAATATAAATATTGGCAAATGTAGTTAGTAAGTCATATATATTTAATATGTTCTACTCGGTAGTATTATTGACCATGTAATTAAGAAATGAGTAACGTCCACATTTTTTGCCTTCTATATTAGGAACTGTCTTCTGAATTTTATCTATAAATCAAAATTTTAAGTATGCTCTGTATTTAGCTATTCTCATTTGAATTTTGCAATATTCTACAGTAGAATGTGAGCAAGTGTTAGTAATTGAAGTATTTTGAATACATGTTATTTACTAGTTAGTATCAATATTTAGTAGTCTGCTTTGGAGATGATGGTTTAACTTCTGGAGAATGAATTCTCTGACTTCTTTCATTATAATTTCATTTTTTAGTAACAAAATTTACTACTTTTTTCTGCTATTCAGATGTTGTAATACTGCTAGTATTCATTTGAAACACAAATAACAATCACTTTAATATCCTTAAGTCACTGACATTACTGTTACTTTTCATTATCATAATTTTTACTATATCATATCCTTCTCCCCTTGTCATCATAGAGGACATATACCAATGAGTAGTAAATAGCCAAAAAATTGTATGAAGGAAATAAGGCAACTTAATATGCTGGAGAGAAGGCTAGATAAAGGATGAATAATCAGCATTGCATTAATGGGGTCAATTGAAGATAGTTCCTGTTACATCAGAGAATCTCTTTGCTTTTATCATTTTAACCTTATCTCTTGTTACCATTTTATTCTAAGAGTTGTTATGCAATAAGCATTTAGTTTGTGTTACTTAATCAAGGAGTTTACTTTGCTCTTTCTCTTTAACTGGTTAAATACCTTGACAAGTTATTTTTAATTTTAAATAAGTAACTGTAGAACATATGTTTCCTACAGTATTAAAAGTGTAGAAAATGCACCTATTTAATGCAGAGGAGAAATGAATAGATCACCCAAAGTTTGAAAGAACTGAGACCTTTTCTGTAGGTCTCTTTTGGCAAAGAAATGATTCTTAACGTTACAGAAAATTCTGTGACCAGAAGAAACATCAACAATTTAAATATAAAAAGTTATTTTCATCTTAATATTTGGGGTCTTTTAGAGTTGATACCTGGAAGGGTCTTTTTGTTACTATGTTGAATTTCCTGTAGTGTAGTGATATACTGAAACAATGTAGTGCTTACCACAGTTTTTCAGCACTTTGATCCTTTTTGATATTGATAGCTTTATATTGCATAAACAATGATATGGACAAAACAGCAAGGAAAGGTGTGTTTCTTTTTGTGACTTTGCTCACCAATTTGACTTAATACAGGGTTGGTTTGTAGGCTCTTAAAGGGAAAGCTTGTCTGCATTTTGCAAGCTCTGTGTTCTTACCAGTATGCATTAGTAATACTTTAACCTACTGGTGCCTGAAGTTAGTGTTTTACATCCTCAACAACTAAAACATCCTGGTGCTATTCATTGTAGCATTGAGTGACATTTTTAATTCCTGTACCAAAGAGTTAACTTCCTTTTTGGTAGACTGAAAGTTTTCTGTCTCACATCTTCGTGTTTGTAAAGTAGAAATGAATGGTATTAAGAACAATTTTTAACAGATCTTTTTTTGCAACTTCTGCCTCAATTTAATTTATTTTAAATGTGTCTCATTTAGGAACTCCTACCCTCCCTCTCCAGTTAGGCAGATTGGTAAGAATTTTAATTTTATATTTTAATACAGCTGGGCTACTTTAAAAGGTAGTTTAATAGGTGTAGTACTATAGATAATTGAAGCAGTTTTGTAAGTTATTTTTTTGCTTTTATTCCTGCAACATTGAGTAAAAAGCAATACTTTACTCTTTTATTTCTATAAATGAATTATACAGCATTTGGTTACTTTAATAATACTGAAATAAAATGCTAAAATGATGGGTTAATAATGGGTCCATTTTTTTAAAAAAAATAAAGAATTTAACATCTCTTTATGTGTATTATTATCCTTAGTGGCATTAAACAATGATATTGCTACATTGTCCACTTTTCCAATAAAGATAAAGAACACTTCAAAAAATGTTCCCAGTACAAAATATAAATGTACCTTGATTTAAGCAAAACTATTGGTGAACCTTACCAAATAAATAAGTAAATAAATATCCTGGGTATTTTAATTCACTTCACATGGAAATTCAGAGTAAGATTATTTTGAAAACTAATTTTACCCAATGATTCATTTTCTAAAAGTGGAGAAAAATACTCAAATGTAATTGTCCAAATATAATACTGCTATGTTTACTATACTGGTTTCCTATTTCTCCTAAACTTTAAAAACACTATCATTTAGTGTCCTTAAAACTGAAATTGACATGGTTAATCAGTCAGGCAAGATGGTAGCAAGGTACATATATTCAAAAAGAAGACAATCACATTCTGAAATGTTTACATTATTTTTGACCATCTAAAATCAATTTTTCCTTGATGCCAATACAGTGCAGTATATGGTTTTGCAGTGAATTCTGAATGGAAAAAAGTCTGAAATTTGTGTGAAACATAACTTCAGATCATATGACTGATAGGCAAGAATCTAAATAAATGTATTAGCGGTGAAAGCAAAAATTTGTTTGAAAGAAAAATGAGATGGAGCAACATAGTGTATCTGACTCATTTGTAGCAGTTTCCTAGATTGTGTTGTCATTATATTGGTTCTGAGTAATTTGATTCATTTAAGCATGCTTTAAATTATTGTAGCTGAATGTAGTTATTTTTCAAGTTATAAGGATAGTAAAGAATTCTTCACTAACCACTATCTCCCAGAGAGAATAGTTTCTAAAAACTTTAAAAAACCCACTTTAGCATAGGTATAAAAAAAAGCAACTAAAGGTATAATAGGAACATTTTCTACCATAGTCAGAGATACCAAAATGAATTGCAAGTCTGACATGAGGCATGATGGGAGGCTCTGGGGAGAACGGGCGTATGTGATCATGCCTTATGATCATCTTTTATGTCTCTGGAATTCGTACTTTGCTTGGTTGTTTAATATGACTGGCAAATTTAATAAAGAGACAAAACGTGTGTTATTTTGAGGCTCCTGAAAGTTTGTTAGTTCCAAATTCTGTACAGTATTATATCCTTTCTTTTCAGTGGTAGAGGGGTCCCGGGAATCAAACTCAGGACCTCAAGCTTGCCAGATAGGCGCTGTGCCGCTGAGCTATATCCCATTCCCATAGCCTGTCTTTTTAATTTGACTTTTCTTATATGTTAAAGATCCTGTTTTTAAACTTGTCAGGCATTTTCTTTTTATTTAGTATGTAAGATGTATAAATCTGAGTGCTGGTTTTCTGCATTGTTTACTGTTTTACTTTGTTATTGTAAGAGCATTTAAAGAAAATCTTCACTTATATTTATAATGCTAACTATAATAAGAAAAATAGTAGTTGAGATATTTAAGAATATATTGGGAAGGAGGAGGAAAGTGGGTAAAATTGGGAATCATATATCCAAGATGTACTTGTTTAAATGTAAAGTCTACACTGGTTCTTAAAATGAAAAACTATGTATCTACCTTATGAACAGTGATACTGTTTTTAATTTATTTTAGTGATTTGGTTTTATTCATGTAATATTCTATTTTCTTTGCAGATTGTTTTTAATTTAAATTGTGGCATTTTTACTTCTCTTGAAATGTATTATGTACTGTATTTTTAGAAATCTTATTTTTAAATAAATATTTTTTAAAAACAGAGGAGTCTTTTTTTCTCCCCCTTACCTCTTTCCTAAAATCAACCAAAGTCTAGATTTCAGCACTACCAGTGTGATAAGGTTTTTAATATTTGTGTATAGTTTTGATGAGTGTTCATAAATTAGAAGCCTTAAGATACTGTTCTGCCATAATTCCAAAATTCATTAATTGGGGCTGGGGATTTAGCTCAGCAGCATAAGCACATGCCTTGCAAGAAGGCGGTCGTGAGTTTGATCCCTAGTACTGATAAAAAAAAAAATTCATTAACTATCCATGAAGAACTTGGTGTAGATGCAAGGGCTGAAACTGACAAAAACAGTATTCCTAGTTAGAAATATTTATCTTGTTTTTTCTTGTTGGTTCAGGAATCAAACTCAGGACCTTGCCCTTTCCAGGCAAGTGCTGTGCTGTTCAACTAATCCCTGGCCCAGGAATATTTGTCTTAGAGATAAGCTGCATGGATATGTCACTGGACTGAGTGTGAGGAGGTTCCCAAAACTGAGAGAAGGAACCTTACCCACTTAAACATATAATATTTGCAAGCTTCCTGACTCCTGTCACAAAAAAAAAAAAAAATGCTTTGAGGACTAGTCAGTAAGGAGTACAGGAAGGGTTATTGGGCAGAAGTTTTAGTACGTACTTCAGTGGTATATACAGAAATGAGAGAGATTTCCTGGTACAGGAAACACTTATGCTTCTCTTGCAAGAGTGGGAATCCTGGGAAAAGGCAGCTCACTCCCCTGCCCCAAGAAGGGTACTAAACAATTTTTTACAGATATGAGCCCAGTTTTTGTGGGGGTGGGTAGGGGACTAGAAGATAGGTAATTTAGGATTCTTTCAACTCATTTAAGTTAGAATCCTGCTCTTCACTTTTCTCAAGCCAATTTTTAGATTTTCAATATTCCTGAATTATGGGTATGATATGTGTTGGATGGGAACAAACCTAAATTTAAAATGCTGTTATGGGCTAGGCTGAAGTGGCTCTTGTAACCCCAGCCCTTGGGAGGCTAAGACAAAAGGATCATTGCAAATCAGCCTGGGTTACAAAGTGAGCTTAAGGCCATTGAACTACATAGCAGACCCTATCTCAAAAGACTTTAAAAAAAAAAACAAACAAAACACTAATATATGGATCACCTTTGATAACTTTGAACTGTGTCCTGGAAGTACACAGTTTTTTAAAAGTACAATTTTTAGTTATGATTTCCTTGTCTCCTATCTTTTATTTATTCTATTCTACCTCAGATAGATTCAGTCATCCAATTTACTTAATATGTATTGTGCCAGATATTTTTATGGAGATATTTTTTCTTCTGGGAATAATCTATGTGCAATAAAATGTAAAATTTATATCCAGACACTTTTACATATATAAGTATATTGAGTTACTTAAAGGCTTTGCTTTTATGAAGTTATATTCTAAGACTGTGTAATGGCTTTTTGTCGACCTATTTGTTAAGCTTCAGGTAACTTACTTGTACATGCAAAAAGTCACAGTGTATATTAAAGAGTTGGTTAAAAAAATCACTTCTAAAGAAGTCATCTGTAATCTCTGAGATTGACAGTTCTTAATTTTAAAAATTCTTAATTTTCTATTGAAAAAATAATTTTGATGTTAACAAAAGTATTTGTAGATAAAACTGCATTTGATAAATCACAGCAAATCATTGTCTTAATACAGGCTTTGAAAGATTATAAAACCTTTAACATTGCTTTTTCTGTACTAATTTTTCTAATTCTTACTAGCTTTAATTTTTCTAATTCTTACCACCTTTTATACTAATTTGATGGTAAATTACAGCAATGTTCGAACATTTTGGTCTTGGATTCCTTTATACTCAGAAATTATCTTTGTATCAACAAAGTATCTTTTATATGTTACCAATATTTATTAGAAATTAAAATGGAGAAAAATGTAGGTGCTTATTTATAGTTCATTTAAGCAAACTAATTACATGTTAACACAAATATTTTATTTAGAGATCAGTGATTTTATGTTTCTTTCATATGAGCTTTCATATCTTCCTTTATAGGAGAAATTTGATTTTCATTGTTTCTGCATTAAATCAATTATTTTGACTGAAGTATCCAAAGAAATCTGATGTCCTGCTAGGACTAGGTAGTTGAAAAAGGAGTATTTTATTAGTCTTTTCAAGTAACTGTGAATATTCTTTGATATTACACAAAAACTCAACAAGTGAAGATTTCTTAATGTTTAGTTGCAATGTGGAATCAGAAACATCACCAAGGAACTTCTCTTCATTAAAAGCATTGGTCCCTTCTTCACTTTGGAAAGCTCTCTTCATCATATAAAATAAAATTCAGTGATAATGCCACTGATCTCTTCAGAGAAGTTAGTATTGGAAAGCTGTTTGATGACATATTTTTTAGAATTCTGATTTTCATTAGAAAACGTTAGCCTCAGAAACCACCTACTCTCATCAGTTTACTGTACCCTGAAATAACAAGTTACCTTTATTCATTCTGGAGAAAATATTTGCCAAAAGGTCAAGTCAAAAAAACCATGTTTGTCTTTCAAGTGTAAAATTGTGTTTCATGAAAAATGGCTAGTTCAGCTTGCAACTCCAACAGTTGCACAAGTGTTTTGCCTCAAAGTAATTTGGAATTCTGAAGTGCTTTTTATGGATTCTTATTTTACTGAAATATATTTGAGAAAGATTTAATAAAATTAATGGTTTTTGTTGCATCATTCCCTACGTGCATGTTATTTAATGAACCTGGCTTGTCACTTAAGGCCGTTGGTTTGAATCTAGTTAATTTGATTTGTGTTTGGGAGATAGGTAATGTAAGAGGGCAGGGAAGAACAATCTGCATGTGAGGCTGCATTTCATTTGTTCTGTACTTTTAGAAGAAACACTGGCTGTTGAAAAAGTCAGTTTATATCTGTGTAATTGTGCTTTTGAGCATTTAAAATACAAAATCTTTACAGATTCATTTCATTTAGCCTTGTTATAAGAGACAAAATTAAAAATGCATGATAATATTGTAAGAATGCAGCATGATTTGAGAAGCTGCCAGATACTGTACATGAGCAAGTGCATACAAATGGTGCCCTGGGCTGACCAATTACCCATATGAACAGCAATTATATTAGTGTGCAAGGGCAATTAGAGGGAAAATTGGACCCTGTGGACATCCAGCTGAGCAAACAGGACCGAGGAAGGATAGAGGATATGTATTAGTTTGAGAAAAAGAAGAAATTAAGCTTACTTAAAAAAATATTTGTATCAATCACAGCACATTCTTTGTATGTCCCCTGGATGCCTAGTTTTTTTTTTTTAAATAAATTCACTTCCACAAATGAAAAAGTACTTAAAGATCAAACATCCAGATTGCAGTGTGTTTCGCATGTAAAAAAAAAAGCCAGAATATTCAGAAAATAGGAAAGTTGGAATATACAGAATCAAACATTTAGATGTTACAGTACATTTGCACATGAATTTGTCTTAGTACTGTTTCATGGTCTAGATATTTATCCTTAATATGGAAATTTACAATTTTTAAAAGCTAGACATGTATTTATATCTGATTTGTGATTTTTAGCAAAAAAATGGTTGTTGGCCTAATGTGATGTGGAGAATTTATAGTTCTATCTAACCTATGACTAGGAAATCCTTGATGAATAGTGACAATTAATGAAATTTATTCTATAATTTGTACAGGTTGTATAGCTATAACCAGATACCTTCATTCCATCAAACAGGTTTGTGTGTTGATGCCACCTAGAAATAACCAGTACTGAAGTTTTTTGGGTGGTACATTTGTTGTAATTTGATGCCTGCCTGTAATTCTTGAATGTTCCAAGCATTTCACATATTCTCAACATAGAATAATGTGAAAAATAGCAACTCACTCAAATAGGACTGTGAAAGGCTGTCATTTTTGCCATTTATTTTCCATGTATGTTTTGTACATGTGAAAGTTTGCAATGATTTGTAGGATCACCCCAAGGGCATTCTCAAAGACCCCATCCTTTATATTCTAATCTTTACAGAATCTCCTTTTTTCTCCAGAGTCATTCTCATGCTTGTGTTTTTACTTTATGTAAACATGAAAAATAATTTTGTTTAATCAGCTTACTATTTTTGTTTGTTTTTGGTACCGGGGATCGAACTCGCAACCTCGTGCTTGCCAGCAGGCACTTAAGCAGCTGAGCTAAATCCCTGGCCCAATCAACTTAGTTTTTATACCTCCCACAGAAATCCCTCTCTTCCTTGCTTTTTTCCCCCTCCCATGTATCATCAACTGGAAAAAATGTAGGGGGAAAATTGTTATCTAGTACTTACTTTTGCCAAAGCTGGTCATAATTTGGTGATTGTCTGTCTCTGCCTCCTTCACTCTCCCTTTCCTCCCTCTACCCCCCTCTCATTATTCCACTTATTAATGCTGTATAACAACTCCAAGAACAAAACATTTTTGGAGGTCACAGTTTCCCTGGACTAGAAAGGGCACAGCAGCTTTTCTATGTTTTGTGGAGTCTTGGACTAGAAAGCTAGAAAGCTAAATGACTGAGGGAATTCTAGGCTGGGAACTGCTGCCCTCGCAAGTCTGATGGCCTGTCAGCCGAGCCCTCAGTAGGTTCTGTCATCCAGAACACCTACAAGCACCACCACATATGGTTTTGAACTGCCTCGCAGTGTGGTAGCTGGGTTCCAGGACAAAATGACCAAGAGAACTCAGACAAGGCTACATGGCCGTGTATAATCTAGTCTCAGGATTCACAAACATTGTGTAATCACAGGCTGCCCAGAATTACTGAGAATGTGATACCTACCCTCTGTACTGAGTATCGAAGTCACATTTCGCGAGCCAAACGTGGAATGGGAGATACTGTTGAACGACGTCTTTGGAAATTTAAATTTGCCACAATGATCATTTTGTATAAAATGATTCAATTATCTTGAATTTCAATAGTTTTTAAATGACATCTGTTTTATTACTTTTAAAAGCCTTTTCTAAAACTTAGTTTTTATATTATGC